CAGAGATATAAAATATTAAATAAAAACATACATAATATAGTAAGTAATTTCGATTTAAATCAAATGAGCGCAAGACGTAAGCTATGCGGTTAAGCGTGCGCATCTATTCTGCGGTTTGACAATGAATGAGTAACGAAAAAGTTTACATATAAGATGGACAGTTAAATGCAGCTTGGAAGTAATTTCTAAAAAAAAGAATTCCACATTTTGAGCATTATATTTCCTAACAACAATATGTTACAATAATTTGCGCAGCGTCTCACTCCAATTTTACAATAAATATGTTTACTTTTTTAAGTTTTTTTATAAACTTGCTTAACATCCTTAATTAATTTGTCATTGAGCCATCACTACTTTAAGTAAAAATAATATACGTTTATGTTAAGCACAATACATAGTTATTAGTGGAGATTATGCGCTCGTAAAAGCTGTATAAATCCCAATTGTCAACGCAAATGTTATGCAACGCTATTCACCATCAAAGGAAAGAGCATAACACATTTATCTTCGAAGCATCTGGCTTGTAACGCACCGCTTCCCGTACGCATTAACTTTACTATATTCCCTCTTATTTATGAGAAATAAATAATACTATTAGACGGAGATACCGATTCCTGATAAAAAGTGGGCCCGAGTTAAAATGGGAGGCACGGTAGAGGCAGAAAGAAAGTAATGGAGGCGCATCGAACCGGTTTGGAGATTTTTACGAATGCAAGGCTCTCGGGCCGAGCGGCTATGTGCTGCCTGCGGCGAGCACATAACATAACCATCGGCAGATTCGCGCCGGCCTTTCTTCCACGCACACACCTGCGTTAGCGCCCGATCTGCCGCTCGGCTCGCCCCATCTTATACCGATTATTATCTCCATATAACTGGATTCCACGTAAAGGTATATTAGGCTATTAAAATATTTGCAGTGCACATCCACGCGCACTCATTATACGAGTCATTATTTGCAAATTAGTAAGTAAACAATGGCATCCTTTGAACGAACGACCACTATTTCAGTATTTAGGTTGACGTTTTGAAATATTGGTTGTGATGACGTCCGACGGCCGAGCTTTAGTTTGGTCGTAAACACCTTGTCCTCAACAATGAATCAAGTTGACTTTGCTAAACAATCGATTGACATGCGCTTACTATGAGTGAGTGCTATGACCCGGAATAGCAAATGTCGATACATGTACCTAACGCATGACTTTTATAGACGTCCCAAATAATTAATTATGATTAACTCATTGTAAATTTCCATAAGCCTTCCTTTAAAAAGCAAATTAACTTACCAGCTATTCTTTAATCCTGCTATTACCAATGCTCTATTACAAAGAGATGTATTGTTTCCGATAGGTAAATTTTTAATTAAATCGTTATAAGTCTTTTGGTCACAATTAATTTACAATTAAATAGTGATTTGATTTCTTAAAACATATTGTTGTTTGTACATAGGCATAATATGTTATGAGTTCGAACATTATGGATATAAATAAATAATCAGTCAGAGATATTTTTGTTTGGTTCACTTAGGTTTTAGATAATGACCTTTACAAAGAAAGTCTTCGTGATACGACAAGAATGTCCTATGACCTACATAGTCTCGCAAAATGACCGGCATAACGGTATGTTTACTCTTTAGTTTGTCAATACACATTGTTTGTTGATCCATTAGATTGAGGCCGCTGTAATTCCTATAATATGCACTGAAATATTGTCTGAACTATGATATGGTCGTCTCTAGTTACAAGGAAAACTTATATTTTGGAACTTAGGTGTTCCTGTGAATCCTTATATTATTTAATATATCATTTATGTGGATTTCTGTTATAAATATAGATAGAAACATATATAATCAAATAATTAAATATATTTCTTTAAAATCGTTTTATTTTTGTAATTTCTAGAGATATAGGTCTGTCTTCATATTACTGTATTTAAATTATATTTATAAATCAATAAACTGTCCTTTAGAAAAAATTAAATCAACACTTCAGGCCAAATTTATAGCATATACGAAAGCAACTTATTTATTTAAAAACTATGTCACCCGCCCATGTTGCAGCTTTCCGTAGGTGAAATAATTTAAAAAATCAGTCCAGTAGTTCCGGATCGTATTCAGTACAAAATAATAATAAAATCATCCTTCTTTGTAATATTGGTAAATAAATAGTAATTATCATTATATATTCTTAGGAAGTGATGATATAACGAATAACTGTTAACGAGACAAATAGCTTACTCTACCATCAAGGCAGTATTTACTTGAAATATATAAATTGATAAATATTTGTTCATATTGAATTCGCATAAGCGGTACCTTTGACAAACATGTGCTTCACTATTTGCGAACTGCGGTCAATTGCTCGAGTAAACATTATGGACGTCGGAAACCCGCTAATTCGTTTAAAATGTCAATTTTTCTCGGTAAATATTAATGCTATTCTTTGGTAAACGGTTCAATGTCTTGTTTCATTCGGAAAATATTTGAATAGAATATTAAAATCTCAACCGAAAAATGTAAGAATGAAAATTAACCTGGACAATCTATTTAAAGTTTGTTAACTGAAAATTGTAATTTTTCAAAGTTATCACAAATAGAAATAATGTCAGTAAATGATTAGAAATATATTCGACGCTGGAAAGCAAACACGTAGTAACCAGCAAAACCAAAATTATTTTTCAGAGCAGAAAAACTTTTATTTTTTTCAATAAATAATTGCTTTAAACGTCCATGGCAATAAATAAGATGTTCCTTAGTCAATTTATATTGAAATCGTATTTTTCTTTTTTGAAAAATGTAATGATTTTCCACTCTAAATATTCATTTTGGTTTTGCGGGTTACTACGTGTTTGCTTTCCAGCGTCGATATGGTATATAAAACCTAATGTAGAACTTATTATGTTAATAGTATAAATTAATTTGCTTCTTATTTATCTAATAACAATGCCGGCATGCGATGTTTAATGTTATGTTGATTCTAGAATTTTACGTCGTCTAAGTTATTAGGTATATACCAAATAAAAGTACTCATGCTGTGTCGTTTGAAGCTGGAACATTGCTTTTAAATTAATATACCATATTTTTATCGTACTTTATAACACTTGAAAATCTTCAAAGATATTTTTGTGCTTATTTTAAACTTTTCTACATATTAAAACACATTTATCATGGTCATTACAAAATTGTTTACACTGAATATAACTTTTACTCTATTATTTAGGAACTTTTTAATGTTTTACCATTTACTTTTTTTGGATGGTTTTTTTTAAAATCAATAGTTCAAAAATATACAAAATAATAGAAAACTTTATATTCAAGTTTTGATTAACTTTTTAAAATTAGCAAATCAACTATTATCTGAAAAACATTTACCTATGTGTAATATAAAATGTACCTACACATATATACATTGTCATTGTATTCAGCCTCATATCGAGAAGTACTTTTGTACTAAATATGTACCTATATTTGTACAAAATCCAGCATTCAATGTATCTAGGCCAAATAAAAGTTTTAAAAGCAATTATTACATAAGAAAGTAAGGCAATATTGAAATTAAATAATTACATGTTAAAGTAACCGTAACAAGTTAATAACTCTATTAACAATATAGGTGATTGCATTCCTAAATAACAGAAATAAATTTTGCACTTGTTTATTTATGAATCGTAGGAATTAAACATAAAATTATTACAAAGTATGAAAAGATACTAAACTTTTCTGACCACATTAAAAACCGTTAAGTCTCAAAGCTATGGATTTAAATGGAAATAATAATATATTAAAATTAGGATTAGAAATAATGAAAATAAGCGAAGGTTAACCATATTCCACTGGTAAATTGGCAATAAAGTGTATGACATGCCGTTTACGCTGTTTACTGCTCACGCCTACTAGCAGCTGTTATCAGGGTTGTTAGCAATACTGAACAATTCAACATCTTGAAAAACATATTTAATGTCAATAATTTGATTCAAGGAAATTACTGGATCATTAAGATTCTTTTTAAACGTCTTGCATTTATTACTATTTTCTAATCATATTCAGAATAACCTTAAAATTTCATATTTCAAATAAAAATTTAAGAAAGTTATTTTGTCATAAGAAGTAACTATTTAAAAATTACTTTTTAGTTATTTTCTTTGCAGTAATGTTTTACCTGTACTTGTTACATTATTCGTAAATTCATAAATTTCATAACCTATACCATGAAAAAATATTTCTTTACAATTTACATAAAGATAGCGAAACTACAAAAATAATTTATTTCTACACTAACAGAAATGAACTTGAAGAAAATTGCTTTTAACGTTAAGAAAAATTAATAATGTTTTTGAGATTATTATCGTTAGCGATTGATTTATTGCAGCAATTACTTTATGAATATTAAAAGTGTCTTAGTTAACTCAATAACATGCGTCTGACCAGACTTATTTTTCAAAACTACCCCTATTTTTTAAATATAAATAATTGAGATACTGTTATGTTAAGAGACACTTATATTGATTACAAAGTAAGCTACAAACGTTGCGTACTAAAAATAAGGAACAATGAAGTAACCCTCAACAAACGTTTCCCGTAAACATCACAAAGCTCCATGAATGACAACGCATGACGGAGAATGCCTTGACACCAAGTTTTATGGCGGCCATATATTCACCGAAACTGGCATCAAAATTGAAAGGAATTCATCATTCATCGATTAGTTACAGAGTCAAAATATTTGTTGACAAAGCCAGCATACTTGCAGTGCTACAATCGGAAACACTCGCTACGAAGCTACCGTAACGCCCGCAATTTGCGCTCATTGTTCGACGAACGTAATGTTTACATCGGCGATTGTCCTTACCCGTGCACTAAGAAGCTATTTTACAAACAGACTTTCTTAAAAGCCATTGTTTTCGAATCATAATCCAACATTAATAACGAGGATATTCTGCACTTCTCTTGAACCATCAAAAACTAATATCACTTCACTGGGAATGGCGCGAAGTCTTGGACTCACCTGGGTCATGAGGCGGTCGGCACCGGTTCCTTCGTCATCTTTGAAATCGATGTCCGGATTATAATTAGGCACCAAGTCTTTGAACTTGTCGTCGTCTCTGGTGATGCGGCCCTCGGGGGGGCCACTAGCGGATTTGTTGATCTCACTGTAGTTAGGCTCGTGTTGCCTGAACACGAGCGGGTAGATGCGCTTCGCGGGGTGGCGGTAGTTGGAGCCGCGGCTGGGGCCGCACGCCGCCGCCGCGCCCAGCCACAGTAACACCACGGACAGCCTCATCTCGCAGACATCACTTCACGCGCGCTCGACGCACGACCACCGCGCGCCGCAACCTGAGCGACACTGAGCCGAGACCGAGTCGGGCTATCCTCCACCACGGCTGCATCCCTTGTCTGTCCGTACTTGCCGGTTGCCACCATTGCTGCCCGCCTTTCATCTTGCCGGAAAATCACAATGTTCGTACTTTGCAATTAGTTTTCATATTCTATTTTTGGGCAATGTTTAGCAGACACGTGGCAGACAGCATTGTTCTGAAGCTTGACAAGCACATATAATAAAAACTGCCTAATGAAGGTTTTTTAAGAAAGATACTACAATAAATTCAAATCAAAATCATTTTAGTGTACGAAAACTTTTTCAAAATTTTCGTGAGAGAGTACTGAAATATAAAGTCAATAATAGATTTTGATATTGCAAAGTGAAATTATATTGCTCAGCTCAACAAAACAAAGTTGATTTCAATTACCCTTATACGTATGACACCTATAAGGAAAACCGAAGATACTTCAATAATAGCATATTATTTTGGCAATTATTACACATTATAGTAAATAGGTTTCCTTTTCTCTGTCATATTTTATTATGAATAAATTAACTTCACGGAAAAGGGTACTACCTAATTTATTTATGTGATATATCAACATATCGACGCTGGAAAGCAAACACGTAGTAACCCGCAAAACCAAAATTAATCTTCAAAGCAGAAAAACTTTGATTTTTTTCGATAAATAATTCCTATAAACGTCCATGGTAACAAATAAGATGTTGCTTAGTCAATTTATACAGAAATAAGACATATTTTTTTGGAAAAATCTAAAGATTTTCCATTATAAATATCCTTTTTGGTTTTGCAGGTTACTACATGTTTGCTTTCCAGCGTCGATATGGAAACGTCAATGAGGTATCTTTTTTAACTATATGCTTATGTTTTCCATACAACTAGGATGTGTAATATTTTAACATTTTAACAAAATTCTTCAATATAATTTTTACATTTTTATTGCATCATAAGTTTATATATAAAATAGAAAAAAAATAGAAATTAATTCGTATCCAATACTTACATAATTTAGAAAATTCGAATTTCCTATGTCACATTCAAAACCAAAGTAACGAATAGGAAATGATCGACGACGATCGATATAAGAAAAAGTCATTTCATCAAAAGTTCAAAATATCTAACACTAGGTTCCCGCCAGTGGCTTCGCCTGGTCCTATTTTATACATATAAATAAACCTCCCTCTTGAATCACTCCGTATAATGACGAAAACCGAATTAAAATCAAAGCATCTCAGCATACAGACAGCGAGAAACAACTTTTTTAACTGAAAAACAGCACTCTAGTATTAATATTTTTTTTACAAACTATATATTTCGATTGTTTATTGTATATTGACCGTATAACCCTATGATATTCATATTAATATAACCAAACATTAACAAAAGTTAATAAAAATAATTACTAAAGAATTATTAAAAATACAGGCAAACTCATCTCAACCAACCTTTTTCTGAATGTTATTTAACGATGTTCCTAGACTTTTCGATATGAAAACCAGTCACTATTCACCGAACGGACTCACCGAAGGAGGGTTCCGGCCCAATATTATATTTGAAAAAATCACTTATAACCATGTTTTTGTATTTTATTTTTTTATATCAGAGATTCTCATAATTAGTCCTTTCCTTTGATATTACACACACAATAAAGTTTGCGGAACTATTTTCTTATTTATACCCCTAAAGGGACATCCATGTTGAAACTCATTTGTTATATTATTTACATTTTATGACCACTCTTGATTCACCAACCTAAATTGGTCAATTGTCCAGTAGTTTCTAAGAAAATCCTGTGATAATGAATCCTTAAATAAGAAAATTTTCATTTTACAGACTGACCCAATTTTGTTTTCTTAACTTCGCTCAAAATTTCCATGGGACAATGTATTTCTCGAATTTGGAAATTATGCGGACTATAATTTTCACTTCCTTAAAATGTTATTCTAACTATTAAGCTCGAACATTTTTAGCATATAAGTAAATGTAGACAAATATTTAATTTATGTCGCCTTGAAGTTAGCAAATACCTATTATTAGCTTATATTTTCTAACTAATTTATTGCGCATTGCACAACCGCGAAAATCTGTGGTTAATACTAGAACCTAAATAAACAGTCTATGATTTATCCTCTCTGTCAATTTCATAGGTAAATAAATGTCATATGCATGACTTTGCCACAAACATTACTTTGAATTTGCTATGCCGATTATCGATATTGCCGTGAGTTCATTAAATAAGTTATTGAATACTTAACGACCCTTTGTCACAGACAAAACTCCCCTGAAGTGTGAACTCAGCGCCGGTGACCTTGTATTGCGTCATAAGTACATAAGATTGACCGACATGATTTAATGTTACATGTAATTTAATATTTAGTATTTTTTTTTATTGGTTTGGTTTAAAGTATTTATTTATCTGTCCTAAATAATATTGAACTAAAATAGCTATTTAACTTTGACATCTAATATACTACGAATTGCGAACACGGCATTATTTATTACATATCATACTTTTTTTAACTTCTGAAGTGCCAAGACGCGTGATGATGAATGCAAATAATTTTATATAAAGAACTAGGTTGTTGATAAGCGCATAACTTGAGAATAGCAGAAATGAATCAACTTTTTTTTTAATATCTAGGAAAAATCTGGGAAGGTCTTTATAGAGATAAATTGGGAGAAAAACAATAAAATAAAACAATTTTTAATATCTTATGCCAACTGGGCAATATGAATTTTATCGAATCAGCTTACATTACTATATTAGTATAAAAAATGGCATTAAGAAGAAACCTCATGGGGGACAATCCAAATAAAAACACTATTTATATAGATTGACCTTTTTAAAGAAACGCACCGCTGTTTAATAGTATTTGCAGTACTACTCATATTTATATATCAACATCTTTTGAGGTACGTACCAATGTTGTATTTCAACACAATCCAATGAACATTAATAGTTTCCATATACCAAAATATGTACCATTTTTAGATACATGAAAACGTACGTAATGGGTTTTTGGACAAATCGAAATTCAACCCGATTATAGAAAATATGAATTTTTGAACATTTTCCCCTTTTCATACTTTTTTTTACCACGGTCGTAAGCATCTGCATGCATGACCATATCAACAGGACAATTCTGCTAATGTTTATGTAATAATCGCATCTCAATAGAATCTCAACTACTTGCATATTACCATCGTACTGTAGTAGTACACCCTAATATGATGTAGCTACCCGTAGGTATTTTTAAAATCGGTCTAATTACTTTTAATTTTATTCGTTACAAACAAACAAGCAAATCTTCCCTGTTTATAATGGTACATATAGATATTATCAAACAATTAAAAATACTGTGTAAATAGCTGACCTAACACGTTGGCTTAATTTCAATGTGAATGCGGATAAAATACAAATACAAATTCTCGAAATAAAATTTATTACCATTCCCTTCATTGTTTGTATAAATAATTAATTTAAAAGCACTAAACTTAAAAACTACGAGACTTCTCTAATAATTTCATTATATTAAATAAGAGGCCTCCGTTAATTACGTGAGGCTCGTTAAAAATCACGAAATATCACAAGGGGGGAATTTATTTATTCCCCAAACGCGCGATTACTAAACCGAAAACGGTTTCAAAAATTAAGGTTTTAGAAATGCTGAAAAACATCACGTGATTAATGGATGGCCCCTAAGACGACCAACAGGTGCCTTATTACAATCAACGAAATTAAGTTACTCAAAAAATATCTTAAGATTAGAAAGTGTTTACTTTAAATTACCTCTATATAATGTTTTGATTTGTCTCAGAAAACTATTTTTTCTGTATGTGAACAGTAAAGAGTTATCATAATTTTATTTAACCTAAGTTTATTTATTTGAACTTCGCCTGTATACATACATTCACGGGACATAAAAATCACTTGTCCCTATTATTCTACAACCAAACTGACACGACTGAAATTTTAAAATATAATTTTATAAGCTGACTAAACTAAAAAAAAACTCAGAGACGATGCCGATAGTACAAAAAAGTATACTCAAACATTTCTTAGTACACCTCACAATGGCAAAAGCAGATAAATCAATTAGATAAAGAAGTAGACTTTGTGGAAACAATAGCTAACACCTCATAGATATGATATTGGTTCCCACAGTGACCGAACAATATAAGTACGTAAGTGCTTGCGTTCCTTTGGAATTTTGACCCGGAAAATAATCTTCACCAGAGAAATTTATAAGCACATTTACATAACAGAAACTACACATTTGGGGTGATTTGTACGCAAGACAACTCTAACATCAATACAATAATATTATATGCTGCATAAATCCCTCGTATGTCAAGCAGATTAATTTTGTTTTGTTTTTCTTCTGTCGGATAAATCTGCCGATGTAATAAATGACACAAGAAAGAAATATAACAAATGCATGTGTTTATCAAAATAACTGAATTCTGTTGCTTGTCATATAATTTTAGTTTTAATATGAGTATTGCAATAAACTAATGATTATACTTTTTTAAATTTAATTCAGACAGATTTAAAACCTGTGTATTTATCCGTGCTACCTGGAATTCGGTGATTTACGTGGTCACCTTCTTGTCTGCATATTTTCGGTATGCTAGAACTGCTGATTAAGATTTATTTTACTTCGCATTCACTAGCCTGGTCCTTTTGAAGCACAGGCAAGGCCTGGATACAAGATATGGATTAAATGATATACTTAGAGCTAATGCGTTATACCTAGACATAGACCATGGCGCGGACCCAGTACAAATTTAATGAGTGACTGGCAGATTCGACAACTGCAGATGCAGCTTGAAAACATAATAATATGTTCAAGTACAAGTTTAACATAATATATTTTCGATCACCCATCCGAATATGAGCCTTCACCAAGTTAACTGAATGCTAACCATTCGGTTAATCGGAATCGAAATTATTTGCATATGAAATTGCAGACATCAAGTATGTGAATGTCAACTTTTCTTGCT